TTCCTTTACTCTTCAGCCTGCAGTCATGGTAAGGTTTTTAAAAAGAGATATTGGTTGGAGGGCAGAGGGAAAGTTTAATTTTAACACCTAACTGGGGCGAGGGGGGGGGGAGAGGGAAGATTTACAAGTCAGCTTTTTGGTTTTTTATTGAAGAAATATGGCTTGGGGGGAGGGAGAAGATTAAGCTGTGGAAAGGTTTTGGTAAACTCATCCTGAAGCTGCCTTTTATGTAAGGTCCAAAGCCTAGAGAGGGAGGAGAGTTTTATAGCTTCTCTGCTTTTCAGCTGATCAGGACCAGAAGACAGGGACAGAAAGCTCAGAAAACAGCCTTCATTTTAGGGGTGCTGAAAATGGTAGCTTTTCCAGTGAAGTCGAGGGAGGGGTCATGCATGGGTTTAACACAGCCTGATTGGTCCATTAGACTGAGAGAAAACTTCTTAGCCTTCTGCCTTTCCCATTGGCTCCCAGTTTCCTCTCAGTCTTTCTGGTCCTAGTACTGTGCAAAATTGGCTCTCTAGGTAGGAAACCTTTAATTATTGATAGGATTATATTCATTACATTCTAATTTGATCTATTGGCCTTTCCAAATTCTAAAAAATCATGGCTGTGCCCAAAATGGACAATTCTCTGTCCTAAAACAGTGGGGAAGGCCTGTAGGGCGTTCTCTGACTCTCCCTTCCGTGGGCCAGGTGCTCCGTACCGATCCCCGGGCCAGACGGGGGTGACGGGCTTCCACAGCAACCTCGGAGCTGCCTTTGCCGCTAGCAGCATGCAGAAGGTATTTTCAAGTGCTGAAAAGCCGAGGAGACGCCGAGCGCATTGCTCGTGCAGACATGGTCTCCTTGGGATGCCAGTGAACACCTCGAGCCTCGTTGAGGCTGCCCAGGCTGCTCCCGCGCTTTAAGCTCTCCCGACAACTAAACAAAGCCAAGGGGACGCGAGGCAGGCTCCAGCGCCACTTTGAAGCAGCCGCGACCGCTGGGAGCGTTTTCGGAAGTCGGAGCTCTGGCGGCCATTTTGCGAGCCACCACGTGGAGAGGCCCAGGCGCTCGCATAGCCGCTTTTCTCCTGTGTGACAGCTAGGCCCCACAGGCCATACAGCTCACTTGGTCCTCCATTCCAAGGATAATTCTGAGGCTTGGCCAGCTGGCAAGCCCCTTCCAAGCATACTCTGTAAACCAGGCATTTGGGAGCAACTTCTACAGGATGCGTGAGTGCCTCAAAATAGCGGCCAGGGCTGAGTCCTTACAGTCCGAGGCCACCCTGCCACCTGCGGGCGAGAAAGACCTCCCAGACCAACCCAGGGCCAGGTCTACTACAGTTAAATCTTCATCTAATCAGAGGCCCTCTCGAGCAGCTGAAAAGGATGAACTGAGACGCCAAAAGGCACTAGAAAGGACAACAGCAAGGGCGGAGAAGCAGGCCTAATTGACTAGGCCCAGATCCAGGTCCAGGTCTCCCTTGGGGCCTACTCCACACCACTCACCCTCCTCTCGAAGGGGGTTCAGCCCCTCTTCCCCATCTGGGTCCCCCATCCAGGTCATACATCAGCTCCAGAAGGGCGGGATCCCCTTCTTCTATGCTAGGGTCTCCCCTCCTCTGAAGGGCTCATCCAGTTGTTTCCACCCTAGGGCTCAACAACAAGACCCAGATCCTTATCACAAGGACATGGAAGACCTAATATGCCTTCCAGAGAGTATCAAAAGATTGAACTCTGCTGCCATCTCACATGGCATTTCTCAGAGGGATAGGTCATCCCACCATGGCAGATCCTATTCCGGCCATAAGACTCGACCTAGGGATCCTTCTCCCTCCCTAGTCAGTGAGGGGTCTACCCGAGGTGAGGATAATTGTAATGACATGGGGTTTTTGGAGGATGAAGACACCGCTCCCCCGGACTCCCCATCCTCCTCTAACCCCCTTCCGCCTGCCATGTTCAAAACCTTACTCCACAGGGCACGCAAGACCACAAAGATAGGGACCAGGGATCCCACAGTCCCTCCCCCTAGGGACACTGACATGGCAATGTTCTCCAACACTGCTACCAATAAGGAAGAGATTCCTGCACCTCCCCTCTTCCTAGAGGTGGTTAAAAATCAGTGGTCTTGGCCATCTAATTTTTCCACACCAGGCAGCAACGACTGTCGCGCCTATAACGTAGAGCAGGTTTTTGCCCATGCTCTCCAGCTTCCCACTATTGACACCCCGATAGCAGCCCTTATCTCCTCTTCCCCAGTCGTGTCAGGGGACGCAGCAGACAAGATGAAACCCGAAGATAAAAGGGCAGAACTCACCCTCCCAAAAAACTTTACTGCCTCCGCCTGGGTGATCAAGTCAGCAGCCACAGCATCCTATTTTAACCATACAACGGTGATGTGGCCAGCTCCAGGACCGTGTCCCGATCCAGGATGAGCGCCTCCATCAGGACATCACGAAGATCATGGCGGCCTCACAATATTCAGCGGATGCGACTCTAGACGCGGTCAGGTTCACTTCCAGTGCCCTTGCAACATCTGTCACTTTCTGCCGTCTGCTGTGGCTACAAAGTTGGCAGATGGACAACAAG